ACTTAGATATTGCCTTGAGAAAATCTTCCCACTTCTATTTTGCATGAATCTCGCGTATAATAGGCACGGTGTGCTCGCGCAGTTCGAGCGCAACTTCGTTGCGCGTGAAACTTGGCGCGAGGCACTACCGTGCCTCTTGATACGCAATATTTGTCTCGAAAAAAAAAAAAGAAAGAGGCGAAGAGAGAGAAATTTGCAAAACGCGGCGACTGCTTCCAGCGCGCGTCATTTCGCCAAAACGAATAAATAAATCAAAAAGAATGCGCTGTACTGAGAGATAATATAATTCCATCCGTATGTAGAAGATATCCGGAATATATCCGTCGCGCCGTATCGATACGCTATTCAACATCTTTTTCATGTTCTTCCTCGCTCTATCGCGGGATCTCGTTTCCCACGGAGAAAACCGACAGGCAAATCCATCAGTATATTGGAGATCCTCTAGAGAAAATGACGTATTTTCGAATTCAGTGAACGAGCTCCTGTCTCGTTGATATCGGCAAAAGGACGCGGTAAATGCGTTGTGTCCGGAATCGATTCTGTCAAGGATGTTAACGACACTATTGCGCTTAACCGTTGTTGATACAACTATCGCAATTACGTATCAGATTGGATTTTACGTTGTGCGCGTTATATACGCGTGCTCTTTCGCAGATTAATTTTTGGCTTTCAAAGCGTTTCTAAAATACATAGATCTCTCACGCTAGTAATTATTTTATATCAGATTTGAAACAAAAATTTTTTCAAATATTTTTATAACAGTTTACCAAAAATGTAATTTGTAACTAATTTAAAAATGAAATTAAAGATCATGTAGTTTCAAACTAACGGAAAAGAATTTTAAACGGTAAATGTGAGCCGACACGCTGGATGTTCGTGCGAAATAAGATGTTTTTTCGCAATATAAATTCTTAATTTAGCGGATCCGCGAAAAAATAAATTAGATCTAATTAAAAAATCTATCGAGATAAAAAAAAACAGATTTAATTAAATCTAAATTAAATCTAAATAGATATAAAGTAGATCTATATGTGTAAATTTCCATTTTTATATTTATTATGAGATCTACTTTAGATCTACTCTCGGATCTACTATATCAAATCACTTCGGATTTGTTCAGATCTGCTTATAGATCTAAGTAGATCTGAGTAGATCTAAAGTAGATCTAATAATAAATAAAAGTGTAAATCTACTTAGATATAAAGTAGATCTAAGAAGTAGATATAAAGTGGATCTAAAAGTGGATCTATTTTTCTCTTTTTTTATCTCGTTAGATTTAAATTAGATCTAATTCATTTTTTCACGAATATATATATATATATATATATATATATATATGTATGTAATTTATAATAATTTTCATATTTTTTTCAATTAGATATATGTTAAAATATATTGCAAATTTGGAATGTTTATTTCATCTTGCTCTCGTGCAGTTTCTGTTCTCAAGATACGCGGAATACAGAACGACATAGATTTCTTTTTCCTGAATATCGATGAAACCTTTTCCGATGATCGAGCCATGACCCGTTTCCCGACTAGGCTCTGCGCAACGCGCTATCGCCGCCGATGTAACACGTGCGAAAGACTATTCAACGAGCTCTTCTTGCGCTCACGCTTCTTTTTACCGGCGAGAGATAACACTCTCGGCGGCTGTCAGCTTGCACGAAGCTGCGGGGAAGATGATGTAGCATCACCGGTGATGGCGGCGGCGAGATGAACTCGCGCCTCGTTTGTAACGGCACAAGAACGCAAGTCTGGATGCACTGCCTGGAACGTTTTGCCGGTCAGTCCGGGGCCTCGGGAAGATGAATTACATCGGGACGTGATGGTGCCGTCTGTTCACTGGTCGCGCCGCGTCGATCGGAATCGCGGAAACTCATGTACGGAACCAACCCCGCACACGTCGACAGCTCCGCCTTTGGTCCCTCTTGGTTCATCTTATCGAGGGCTCGCGTGCTCTCTCGAGCTTTTCGTGTCTCGGCACCGGAGCCTCGGCAGAGAGGAAACGAGAGGAAGTAACCTCGGAGATAGCGAGGTGGGGAAGATTGATTGCATCGAATCCCGCGTATATATATATATATATATATATA